CTAAAGGGCTAATGATAACTATCAAAACGCCGGCCATTTGTTATAAATAAATAAATAAATACTTCGCTAATAGTTCAGCCTAAAACTTCCCCTTTTCCTCGCAAATGGCAAGGGCCTTATTGCTCCCCTAAGTTGACTACATTGACGAGAGCTCATCGACGATCTGGTTATTTCGACTGGTTCAAAATGTAAAACTGCAGTACATATTGCTTCTTAAGAATAACAATAGCCTAATCGCAATTTTAACATGGTATAGCTTCATTGGAGTTCAAAAATTGTGAGTTCTAGTAATAGATTTAAACAATCAACCTTGCGTTTGATGAACACCCAACTCTAAATTAGCCATTTACTTACTAAAACAAAAGTCTTAACAGCTCTTGTGCTCGGTTAATTAGAATAATTCGCAATAAGTGATAAATAACGAGTTTTATGCCGAGAAATCGACGTTAACTAGGTAATTCTCTCAAGATTGAATGCCTTTATCACTTCGCATGGTGAACGGGGGGAGGGTTTTAATGTAATCATATTGCTCGTCTCTTGAGCTTCGTTCAGTAAGGAGTTTGCTGAATTGGGATGTTTAAATTAGTTCTATCTTTAAACTGGACCCAAAGGTATGAAGAGCTAACCTGTTTTCCGTTGTGTGTTACGGATTGGACAATTGTAGCAAGCGTCTTGAATGAGATCGCCACATCAAGAAGATGACATGAGAAGAAGAAGTAGTTCATATTTCCAAGCAACGAGACAATGAAGTATACAACAAGGTAAAGGAACGACTAGAAGATAAGGAAAGACATAATCTCACTAATTAGAGTTACTGACAAATTGAGAGAACGCGTTAAAAGCCAAATTCACTTACATTATCCGTGAAAATAACGCCCCATTTCCAAAGCAGGTATTGTAGATCCATTTCTTGCAGCCAAGTTGGATAGAACCAGGTGCCTGTGGTTTCTTCTGGCCGATCTTTCATTGGACTCGCACCGTTATTTGTTGAACCCGGTTTCATTCCAAGCAGACGAATAATCTGCCTCTGGTCATATTGTTCCCGATACTTTTTCAGAACTTTCTTTTTGACGAACTTATCCCAATACATGTGGGGGAAACTGGGTGTTGAAAGCACCAGTTTATCCCACTGAGCGCGTAGACCATCGTCAGGAGGTTGCTCAGCTATCCAAATTCCTTCAAATTCCAACATTCGGGAAATCTCCTTTTCGCGTTTGAATATAACTAAAGGCACCTTGAGAGAACAAAAAAACAGATAAAGGATTACACAAGAGAATGATAAAACCAAATGCAGCAACATCAAAATTAAATTACTTACTTTCAAAAAGTAGTATGCAACCAACATGCCAAATGAGAGCATTGAGTGAGCAATGGCGAGAAACTTAAGCAGAGGACCTAAGTAGGAATCGGAATCCGCTAAAGTTATGAATTCCTCTTCTTCGGCGTCAAATCCAATATCACCTTCAGAATTCTGAAGTGAATCAGCAATATTAGATACCGTGTCCGAAATTGATGTCACAAAAGCAGCTCCAAGGCCAGCTTCTTCTATGTCTTCTTCGCCCCCAGCCGGTCGCCTCTCAATCTAAAATTACATTCCAAGGTATACAATGCTCAATCAACTGTGAGCAGACGAACATGCTTTAAACGTTACCTTGTAGAACAAAAGCAGGAAGTTGATTATGAAGGCTAAAATTAGAGCACAAAGTTTGAATCGATAGAAATTGCGCGCAAAGATTGAAATTAAGAAGGTGGAAGTGGGAATTGGCTTCTGTTCAACCGCAGTAAAGCCTTCTTCATTAGTCGAAGAACGAGTACCTTAAAGTAGCGAAAAAAATTATAAATATATAAATCAATAGATAAAGGAATGAATGAATAAATATATAAATAAATAATACATATATATATATATATATATATAT